GAAGCCATAGGAGGAAGAGAGGTAGATAGACAGATAATATAATATTGTATTATCTATCTATATATATATTATCTGTGTATATATATATATATTATATATATATATATTATATATATTATATATATTCTATTGCCTGTGTATATATATACCTGTGAATATATATATATATATATATATATATATATATATCATAATGAGTTCTATTATAAAGAATTGGCGGGAACCAGCTGTTAGCGTAATGGCTATGTCGCTGGACTCCCACGTAGTCCACCACGGTTCGCGTCTCGGACCCGGTGGCTTAAATCTCACGCTGGGCGCGTGTGCGTGCGTGCCCAAGATCCCGAGAGGAGAATAGAGGAGAAGGGATTGCAGCATTACCATCCCCCCTGGGAGGTGATTTCTCGCTTTCTGTCTCTATGTCTCTGTCTGTCTGGCGAGCGCAAGCGCCCTATAGCGAAAACCTCTCCAAAAAAAAAAAAAAAAAAAGAATTGGCTTTGTGCTATTATGAAAGCTGAGAAGTCCCATGATCTGCCATCCATAACCTGGAGAACCAGGAAAACCAGTGGTGTAAAGTCCAGTCTGAGTCCAGAGGTCTGAGTTTTTCCGATGGTGTAAGTCCCAACCCAAGGGCAGACGAAAACACGTTCCAGCCCAAGCAAGCATGCAGAGAGAAAGAATCCAATCCGCTCCCCCTTTGTTCTCTTCAAGTCCTCCGTGGGTGGGTGGGATGGTACTCACTCACATTGGGTAGTGCCATCTGTTTTATTCAACCCACCAAACTAAATGCAAACTCTTTCAGAAACCCTCACAGACACCAGAAGTAATGTTGATTCAGATATCTGGGCATCCTGTGCCCAGTCAAGTTGACATATGAAATTAACCACCACAATTTCCAAACATGGCAGCAGAACAGAGGCCTAACAAACCTGTCGGGGGCTAAATGGGCCACCCCACCATTTACTAATTCTGTTTTGGCAGTCAAGACACTTTCTAGCTAGAGTGACACTTTCTGAGAAAGCTCTCCTTTCTACACACCTGTAAGACTTGCATATGCTGAAGACAAGACAGCAGGCATGAGAGCCCAGAGGACAAAGCGGTAAAGCAGAATAGGGCCCTGCCACTGCTGGAACTGAGATGGACTGGTCTCTGCCTACAGCTATGACTCTTCCAGGAAGATAAAACCTGTCACCACTGGGTCTAGGCCTGATGTAGGGAAGGGATGAGCAGAGAAATTGGGCTCACAACTGCTTGAGTGGTTGACCAGCAGAGCCCCCATCTGGGAGTAGAAACTGGACACCCAATATGGTTCAAATCACTGGTGCAAATATGGAGCTTGAAACCACATGACAAAGAATGTAATCAGGAACAGCTGATCATTTTCATATCAAAAGTCCCCATGCCTAGTCTCAGGGATCTCTTGGTCCCCATGCTGTGGGTTGACCTTCTTTACTCATGTCTCACCAGAGTCAGACAGAAAGAGAGAGGGAAAGATGAGAAAGCACCCCCAGGGGGATGGTCATGCTGCTATCTCCTCTCCTCCATTCTCCCCTCGAGGCTTCAGGCAGCACCCACCTGTGTTTTTCAAGCTGCCAGGTCTGGGACTCGAACCACATGATAAACCATATGGGATCCAACTGTCTTAACCTCCATACTGTCTGCTGGCCCAAGTATTCACCTATTGGGACAAAACATAAGCTCAAAAGTCTCAGAAAAGCGGTCTCTGCACAACACCAGCGAGACACTTGCACTCTTCTCAGTTGTGGCCTTGAGGACAACTCTGGCCAGAAGCACATGAATATAAGTCAAACACCTGTGATGGCTCTTTTTTTCTTTTTTTTTTTTTCCAAGAGTCTTTGACCAAGTTTGTTTTAAACCATCCCTGGAATAGAACCCGTAAACAGAAAGCAGCCTAAAAGATCTTCCCATCCTGTTGCAGACAAGAAAACTGAAGTCTGGTGAGCAGAAGAAATTCACCCAAAGGGCTCTTCAGATTTAACATAAAGGATCAGCTGTGATGGTGCCACAGTAGCAAAGGGCTCTGAAGTGGGCCCACATAGGAAAGTCCTGGTTCACATCCTGGGCTCTCCCCGTACACGCCAGGCTAGCTGAGGCTGTAAGTGAACTGCAGTGTGAAGACCCTTTGAGGACGCCACTTTCTCTCTCTCATGAATACACTCTTTGGTAGCGTGGTGGTTACATCACTGGACTCCCACATGGCCGACCGCAGTTCTAGTCCTAACCTGGTCGTTTGCTTTCTTGCTTTCCCTGTCTCGCCTCTCTTTTTCTTTCTGTCTCTCTAGTGAGCACACATGCCCTATAGCAAATTAATAATAATAATAATAACATTAAATAAGTTTTTTAAACAAAAAAGAAATCCACTCTGTTAAAAATGGGTGATAGAAAGATGAACCCTACGTACTTGTCATCTTTTTGAGAACTAAAATGCAACCATCACCAACATTGGTAATGTTCTGTGTCTTAAACTGAGTCATGGGTTTGTGGATATTTGTTTCATGTTTCATAAACTAAACTTACAGATGTTTTGTTTTGTTTTTGGTACGATGTATTGTTCTTGTTTGAAGAGTTCAAGTGTTCAGCTCTTTGAATTTCTGATTGTAGAAGGACTTTCTAGTCGGTGGGCTCCCCAAGGCTATCTGCACACAAGCCAGAAGTCAAGACATAAAATGACCACTGTGCCCTCCCTTGCCGATAAAGAGGGCTGACACACTGTGCCCTGATGGGAGTTTGGTTCGTACCCACTGAAGCTTGTGACTTGCGAATTTCCCAAGTGAGATATTTCCCTACCGTGCAGTCCACGTGTCTCTGAGTCTGACCTCCAGGCTGGGGAAGAAGAGGGACTGGGTGAGGAATGTGGCGAGATGTGGGACTGAATAGAGAATGACAGGAGGACCGAAAGGAGAGAAAAACTGTCTGCTACGCCCATTACCCGGCAGTTGAGAACTGGTGAATTTACATTGCTACCAGCTCATTTTGCTGTAGCCAAATCAAAATGGCTTTGTCAAATCTTGCATGAAGACATGACAACTAAATGTGGGATCCTGGATGCCATCCTAGACCAAAAAAAATAAAGATATGAGTGAGAACACTGGAAAAATCCCAATAAGCTCTGTAACTTTGTTCATCATATTGGACCAATCTTCATTTTCTGATTTTGGTCATTGTACCTTGGTTATATAAGATGTTAACATTAGAAAAGCTGGATGAGGGACCAGCAGTTGGCATGGTGGTTAAGGCGCTGGACACTCCCACATGGCTGACCAGGGTTCAAGTCCTGAGTCTGGTGGCTTGCTTTCACACTTCCTCTCTCTCTCACTCTCACTCTCACCCTCTGTCTCTCTCTGGTCAAATTTAAAAAATAAATGTATGAATAAATAAAATAAGAAATAATTATTTAAAAAGAAAAACTAGATGAAGCCTTTACAGAACCTCTCTATCCTATGTTTGCAACTTTTCTATAAATTAATATTTATTTTTAAATGAAAAGTATTTTAAGTTAAAAAATAAATGTGGGGGCTTAGAGGTGGAACAAGGAGTAACTGTGATGTTCAGCAAGGCTGACCCACGTGGGAAGGTTCTAGATTTGTATCTGAAGATCTCCCTGAGTACACTGGGCATAGGTAAACTTTTAAAACTTAATTAATTTAAAATTAATTCATTTAAAAGCACTCATCAATTGTGGCTATACTATTGACCAAATGGCTCTCCATGGAGGCTCTGAGGATTTCCTGAGAAATAAGCCATCTTGGGGCTGGGGGCTCTCAAGAGAACCCACCTACTTGTTCCTGGGAAGGCCCAGAAGGATCTTTGAGCCACAGGGAAACTGCCTGCCAAGGCTGACAAAAGTCATCAGCTGAAGCTGACCTCGCAAGGACAAGCCCAAGCTCCCAGCCTCAGTAAAAGGTGGTCAGAGACCTTTGACCGCCAGCCCCTAGTTAAACCACAGGGACTGAAGTGTCTCCATGGGGCTGAGACCTGTTTCAACCAACAAAAGTTGAGCAATAGTGGAAGAGAAAGGAAATAAGAGCTTGTTGCATTCTTCATCAATACAGAAGGGAGTTACTAGTCAGGGTTTCATTTAGGACTTCAAAGAGTAAAGAAACAGATCTATACTAGGGTTTTGAAAACCTTAAGGTCATCACGAATGGAATTCTAACAGGATGTAGTGATTATGACTTGAACATTGAAGCAAAGAAAGCGTAATCTATATGGGAAAAGAGAAAAGCAAAGAAGGCCAGGAGGTGGTACAGCAAATTCACAACAGCAGTGCAACTGGACCCACAATGGAAAAGGCCTGGGTTCGTGTCCCAGGGTATTGCTGAGCACACCAATTCGGTGCATGCCTGTGGTTCAGGCTGGCTGAGGCTAGAGCTTGTTGGGGATGTCTCTCTCTCTCTTTCTCTCTCAAGAAATAATAGATCTTCATATCCTCAGTCCTCATAACAACCCTGCTCAGAGCTTACCATTATTATCTCTATTTCACATGGGAGAAACTGAGACACAGAGAGGTTAAGTGCTTTGCTCAAAGTCCATAGTTACCAGGTGGCAATACACTTTAGAACAAAGAAAAGAAAAGTGGGGGCTAGCAGGTGGTTTGGTGGTTAAGGCGCTGGACACTCCCAAATGGTTGACCATAGTTCAAGTCCCGGACCTAGTGGCTTGCTTTCTCACTTTCTCTCTCTCTCTGGTCAAATTAAAATAAATGAATGAATAAATAAAACTAAATAATTCTTAAAAAAAAAAAAAAAGAAAAGAAAAAAAAGAAAGAAAAATGAGGAAAATAGAAAAAGTAATCTTAAGAAGACAACCCAATAAGAAAGTATAAAAAATTTACCCTTTACACATGATTAAATGAGAAAAACAGGTTACAAAGTTCATAGAGCAGTTCATATCTATATTTAATATTTGAAGGAAATTACAGCAGGAGAAGAGAGAAAATTCCAGAAGTATATCACTCAAAATGTGAATATACACCGTTTACCTTCTGGCCGTGAGGTAGGACTGCGGTGCAGACAATGGATTCGCCAGAGGCCAGCCTATGACTGTGTAGGCCAGAGGGAGGAGGGGACTTGAAGACACCAGCAAGGGCTAGACTGGAAAGACACCGAGGCCGTGGGTCAAGAATGCAGAGGCTTGTGACCGACAAGATGTGGCACGAGAGAAGGCATAGATGACAACAGGCCAGCGGCGAAATTTTGGAATGATTCGTGAGCGCATGCGCACAACGCAGGTGGTGGCAGTTTCAATCTTCCCGAAGCGCGCGATGCGGTTAGTGAAAGCAGGTGTAGATAGGATTCAAAAGCCACAGCCTGGTTCAAATTCAGTCTTCTCTAGTCAGTTCTGAGTGAAGCTACTTACCCTCTAAGTGACTTCGTTTTCTGGTTTATGTAATGGTGATAATAATATTACAAAATTAAGTTAAATTAAGTTAATATATTTGTGGGGATTTTTGTTTTTTGGGTATTTTTTTTGGGGGGGTGGCAGTCGAATTTATTAAGATGCACTTTAATACAGGTGCTGGGGCTTTCCCATGGTGCTCTTGCTGTATAAAGCCCAGACGTTCTCCCAATGCTTGAGTAATGACACCGGGAAGTTACCAGCCAAGTGGATGTTGTACACAACCTCATCATCTGTCATCTTCACCTGGCCAACAGCCACAGCTGGACACAGCACCTTCTTCATCTGGAACTTGATTGTGGACTTCGCCTCATTGACTTTGGCCACCATGTTCTCATTGTGTGTCAGCAGGGAAGGGCATTTGCCGGCCATATTTAGACCTGGGCCCAGGATTCATGGGATCTGCTTGGTCAGAGACTCTGAGGCCAAAAAGGCATCATATTTCTTGGCCAGCTTCTTATTCTTATTGAGTTTCTTAAGCACCTCAGTGTCCATGTGGGGGATGTCCACAGCCTTTGCCTCGTCACGGTGCTGCTGGTCCCCCAGGACATACACGGAAAACTCGGGCTGGGGAGTAGACTTAAGACTGATGGTGCCGAGAACTGCTTGTCCTTCTGAGGGTCAGAGTTCTTCAAGCTGATCTGCAGCTCCACCGTTTCCAAAAGCTTCCAGTGCTTGCACTGGTTTCCGTCCAGGACTTCCTGCCACCGCCTCGTACAGGGTGTCACCAGAGACTTTGCTGCTCATGGTGTTTCATGCCACAATAGCTGAGAAAGAGGAATAATATATCTGTAATAACAATGTCAGTTATACGGTAAGCAAGAGGTTAGTGAAAGTGAGTTGTTTTTGTTTTGTTTTATAGAGATTTTTGCCATAAGGCATGTGTGCTTGCTGGAGAGACAGAAAGCAAGAAATCACACACCCCCTCCAGGGGGGATGGCCACATGGCAATCCTTTCTCCTCCATTCTCCTGTCAGGAATTTGAGCACCTACGCACACGTGCCTGACATAAGTTTCAAGCCAACGGGTCTAGGACTTAAACTGCAGACAACCACATGGGAGTCCAGTGCTTTAACCAGCAAGCCACCTGCTGGCCCCAGAGTTATAGGGAAAAAAAAAAAAATTATTGGTTCCTTTTTTTTTTAAGTACTTTTTTATTATTTAATTTTTTTTCTTATTTGCTATAGGGCATGAGCACTCACCAGAGAGAGACAGAGAGAGAGGGAAAGTGAGAAAGCAAACCTCCAGGTCTGGGACTCAAACCACAATCATCCCTGTGGAAGTCTAGTGCATCAACAAACCACACCACCTGCTGGCCCCGAAAGTGAGTTATGACTGAGGCGGGGACCATGCTGAGCATTTAAATGGTTTACTTCATTCAGTCCTCATAATGACCCTACTCAGAGCTTACCATCATTATCTCTATTTCTCCCGGAAGAAACTGAGGCACAGAGAGGTTAAGTGCTTCGCTCAAGTCCATAGCTATGAGGAAACAAAGCAGGGTCTGAATCAGGTGACCTGACTCTGGAGTGCCCTTTGTAACTCCCTTCCTCATACCACCCATCACCAAACAGCTGTCCAGGAGGCCCTTGAGCTACGTCCCATGCCACACGTGCAAATGGCCAGTGCCTCTCCTCCAGAAGCTGTGACCCAGCTGGACCAGCCCAGCTCACTGACTCATGGGCGTTGGAGCAGAAACCATGCATGTCAGAGCTTCGAGGAAGGGTGTTGGTGACACTTTAGTAAAGTCTTGAAGATGAGTCAGCATTTTCTGGTCAGACAAGGTGAGAACACGTTCCATGCAGAGTGAACCCCATGTGCAAAGGTTCAGAGATGTTGAACCCACTGGGAAATGTTGGCTGTGAGGCACAGAACCCCACAAACCAAAGCTCAAACAAGGGACATACTTTAAGACTAAAGTATGGTACTATGGACATACTCTAAGACCTGGAAGCTATGGACTTGAGCAAAGCACTCATCTCTCTGGGCCTCAGTTTCTTCTGTGTGAAATAGAGATAATAATGATAATGATTTCAGGCTAGGAGCAACCAATTGGTGATGTCCAGGATCTTTACATCAGCCCTCAACTTTTTGTCTTTATACTGTTGACTTCATTGACCTGGTTTCCAAGATGGCTGCCATAGCCCCAAACATCATATCCTCACAAAACTGCTAGAAGCAGAAGGCAGCCAGAGTCTGACAGACCTCTCCTCACCTGATTTTCTTGTTTTATTTTTTTAATTTGCTGGTTGAAATGTGTGCTTACCAGAAAGAGAGAGAAAGTGAAAGGCAGACAGAGAAAGATGCCTCCCATTAGGGCATGGTCATGCTGCAATCCCTTTTCCTTCATTTCTTCACTTAGTCAGGATTTGGGGTACACATGCAAACACACACAGCATATTTTTCAAGTCTCTGTGGCCAGGATTCAAACCATGCAGTAAGCCATGAGGGATCTGACTCCCCAACCATGAGACTACAGGGTTGGCTCTGTTTTCTCCTTTTATTAGGAAGCAAAATCCTTTTCTAGAAGCCCTGGCTGACTTTCTCTTACACTGGCCAGAATTGTATCAAAAGCCCAAGCTTCTCTCCTCCTGAGACACCTCAAGCCAGAACTGCCCAGCCAGTGCTTCTGGAATTCCTAATCCATAGAAATCATGACAGGCACTAAGTTTGGGATGATTCATATTTTTTAATCACTGCTACAGTTTAGGTAATGCTTTGTGCTCAGAAACTTCCCGTGCTGTAAGGCAGTCCCTCAGGTAATGTCATTGGGAGATTCTGAGACCTGGAAGAGGCAAGCGGGCACTGGTGGGCTCACAGAGCCATCGCCTTCATAAATGGATTGACGCTGTCTCAGAAGACAAAGTAAGTTCCAGCTCTCGTGGGAAAGGGCTAGTTTCCCAAAGAGCGGGCTGTTGTAAGAGGGAGGAGACTGCCTCTGTGTCTCCCTGCACACACCTGCCATCCTCTGCGCTCCTGTCATCCGTGTTGTGATGGAGCACCAGAGGCCAACCTGATGCCAGCCTCACAGCTTCCAACTGTCCAGTCACCACGAGTCATAAACCAAATATGCTTCTATTATTTAAAAATCAGGCATTACGTGTTATTGGCAATGGAACAGACTGGAATAGCCACAGTTTGGGGGTGCTGTGAGCAGCAGTAGACTCGGTCAGAACACTCCCCAAGGTCACACAGTGGCCAGGCTGAGATTTGAACCTGACCCTTTTATTTAAACATGGGATCGCAGGTTCACAGCAAGAAATGAAAATTCCTCTTTAAAATCCCAGAAAATATTTTTAAATCATTATGGATGGTGGAATCATGTGCCTCAGAGGGGGGAAAAAAAGGGCAGGAAGGACAGGGTAGCAAAAGAGAGAGGAAGGGATGGAGGGAAGGAGAGGAGAGACAGAGAGGAAGAAAGAAAGAGGGAGGGAGGGAGGAAGAGAGAGAGAAAGAAAGAAAAGGAAGGAAGGAAGGAAGGAAGGAAGGAAGGAAGGAAGGAAGGAAGGAAACAAGAAAGAAGAAAGAGGAAGGAAGGAAGAAAAAGGAAGGAAGGAAGAGAAAGAAAGAAAAACCAGCAGAAGACAACAGGGCTTGGACAGGATACATGCAGTGTGCTTCGGATGATGAGTTACATGGGTCGGAGATGCTGGGGATGGCGGTGTGGCTTTGGAATAAAATGTAGGTTAATAAAGCTGATAAATGCAAGGCGAGTCTGAATGCACTACTCCATGAAGAATGGCTGTTTTAATGAGGAGAAGGCTGGGACAGAGGCTGGCAGAGAAGCTCTGCTTTCCAGCCCAGGCGCTGGTCAGCAGCCACGCAGTCATTGTCTTTGGGGAAAGCATGGCAAGGTCAAGGCTCAAGATCTCTGCCCCATGAGTTAATAATTGGTGCCTTCTGTTGGGAAAGGGGCACATGCTGCCAGGTTCCTGACAGGTGGGCGGCCGGCCCTGGGCTCTGGCAGGCCTAATCAGAAGGAGGACAGGGCAGGCCTGCTGGCTGTGCATGACAGAAGGCACATTCGTCACTCTCTAACCACAAAGGGGAGCCCCATGAGGCAGAAGCCTGCAGAGGGCCAAGAAGTCCATGAGATCCCCATTAAGCCAGCCCCATGGAGGGGCAGGGAGGGATGAGGCAGCCTGCCCACCAGCTCCCGCATACCTCGGCCTTCTCTTTTTCTCTCTGGGTCTCAGGCTCAGCCTTTCTGGGATGGGCTAGAAGCCGGACAGCTGGGACAATGTTCTCTCCAAGTCTGAGTGGACTTAGCTCTGAATCCACAAGTGCATGTGGGGTCCAGCTCTGTGGTCAAGTACTCACTGGGACTGTCCTCACTGGGGCTGTCTGGCTCATTTAATATCTGGATTAGTTCCTGTTGCTGCCATAACAAATCACCAAAAACTCAGCGGCTCAAAACGACGCAAGTCAGAATTGAAAACAAAACCAGCTGGTGGTGTGGTGATTAAGGCTGCTGCATGCCACGTAGTTGACTGATTGGTTTGATTCCTGGACCTGCAGGCTTGAGAGACATACCAGGTGCATGTGCATGTGTACCCAGGTGGGGGGAAAAGGATGGTGTGACCATTCCCTGTGGGGGTTTCTTTCTCACTTTCTCTCTCTCTCTCTCTCTCTCTCTCTCTCTCTCTCTCTCCAGAGAGCTCACATGCCCTCTGGCAAATTGAAAACAAATAAAAAAACAAAAAATAATTGATAACAGGTATTCAAACACACCCAAGTGTTCATTACATCACTA